CCAGATGGATAATCCCCTGTAGGAAGAGATTACAAGGATTAAGCACTGAATCATTGTGCGGCAGGATTAGCTCCACACATTCATCTGCCACAGCTCACTTTCTGGATTTCTGTTTCACCGTCAGAACGCTGCTCATTGGCACTGCGGCACCCAGACTGCAACACATGAACCGTGTGACAAGAGACTCAGAGGATGAGTTTGATTGGGCCTGATATCATTTAACTTGAAAAATTATTAAAATTATAATTAATTTTTTTTATTACTTAAAACAAAATTATTTTAAGATTGTCATTTTTTTAATGTAACAATGATTGAAATGATTTCCTGACAGCTCACAAACTCACACAATGGATGAAATCACGTGATGTATAAATGGAGCTGAAAGTGATTCCTCTTAATAAAGAATGATTTCCTGTCATGTCCTAAATTGTATCTTTCTTGGAAACTTAAAGAAGAAAATAAAGAATTAGAATTATAAATTATAAATTCTTTAGAATTATAAAGAATTAAAGAAAATAAAATTAGAAAACAACAACCCCCCCCCCACACACACACACACAAATATAACAATAATAATGATGAATAAATAGAGACTTAACCGTTTATTCACTTTTCATATTTTTAAGGCTAGAAATCTGTTTTTAATGCTTTTTTATTTAAGCTGACTTAAAGGACGTTTAAATAATAATAAAGAAGTTTGACTCATGATAATCAGTTGTAAACGCTAGAAAAGCAGGCGAGTCATTTATTTAAGTTTCTATTTTAGATTCTGTTACGTTTACGTCACGAGCAGGTGCGCGTTTTTTTTTGTTTGTTTTTTTTTTGTTTTTTTTTTTGTACACCCACTACTCCTCGCGTGCACATCGTGGTCGGTGTGGCCGGTTGTTAATGCACCGTCCAGTCTGCTGCATGCTGCAGACCGAGGGACCGCATGGGAACTTGAACACTTGCTGCGCTCGCGCAGGTCGGCCCGTTCAGAGCCACTCTGCGTTTATCAATGACGTTGCGTGGAGCGCGCGGTCACGGCGTGTTAAAAACCTGCACGGTTCATCATTTGGTTTTCAGCAATGGGAGGGGTGACACACACACACACACAAACACACACGCACACACGCTTTTGTAGTATGTCAGTGCAAACACACAGGCGCTGTTGTCTTACTGACAGAGTGGTAATCACGGGGTGTCCGAGACGGAGGACTGTTTTTTCTTTGC